AGTGTATGTTGGGTAGTGAGATTGGCCCCAAATCCTATGTTTGTTGTATGCTCATGTATGAGGGGTTTTCCCAATTGTATTTGTTTCATCCCTATTTCTCCTTGAATGTTTTAATTGATGTAATTAGTATGTATGTATGAGTAGTGTTTGTGTTTGGATTATAATTACAGACTTTGATGTTTTTATATGTTCCTATGAGAAACCCTAAGGGAATGCATTGGTGATTGTAAGAGGAGATTGTTTGAAGAGGAAATTATATGAGTAAATTATATTGTGCTAATTAAATGTTTATTGTATGAATTAAAGTACTTTGTAGGTTCCTGAGAGAACCTTGTGAGAAACAGGCAAAATATGAATGTTTTATGTTTTGCTTTCTGATTGTTTTGATGTATTCCTTGTTGAATGAGATGTACGAATATGTGTTTAATTTCGCAAATAGGCAAGTTTTGATATGAATTAAAGTGCTCTGTGGAGACTATGTGAATATGATGAGATAATGTGAATATGAGACATGAGATATGATGTTATATGATAATTAGACATGACGATGTGATATGATAATGAGACATGATAATATTATATGATAATCAGACATGATAATGTGATGGGAGAATGTATATAGTATTGATTGACATGCATTATTTGCATAAATGTTTTTAAGGGTATAATATGGAATACACCGCCAAGGAAGGGCCCCTTGTGTAAAAGCTTGGGGATTAGTCCTTGGGGATAGCTCTGTTTGGAAATCCTAGTCTCACCCATTATGTGCATGGGATGTATCTTGTGCGGCTTAGCTATCCTGACGAGACCTTGGTAGTATGTCCTTCTAGTGAGAGTGCGCAGAGGGTGTGACCCGGCATGTACTCCTAGACTACTCTCGTGTATTGTTAGCGGCAATACGCCATGTGATATGTGTTACTGGCACCACATGCATGATAATATGTAGTCCGTGTCCATTACATGTGCATTTTAATGTTATATGTTAAAGTGATTTTTATGCCTTTGATGAGTGGAATGTGCTATTGTTGTTAATCTATCTATGTTATGTACATATACATGTCTTGTTTGTGTTTGACTATCTAGTGTGTATTCTTATATTGTGAGCTAGAGTAAGATGTTTCTCACTCCTTTTTCTTTTGTGTTGTTTTCTTTTGACTATTATACAGGTAGCATGAGGCTGAGGATGTTGGTGACAAAGCTTAGGCTTCAATGATGGACTTTGCTTTGATAGGACATGTGATATCGGGACATTATTTCTTATTATTTTGGAAACCTTAGCATTATTTCTTTGTAATTTTTGCTGATTTTGTTATTTGTTTAAGTCATGGATGTGGTACTTTCTATCTAAACACGTTTGACATTTTAATCATGAAAGATTGTGTTATTCTAATTTTATTATTTATGTGTTATGGTATGTGGGGTAGAGGGTATCACATATTGAAATAGATAGCCAAATATTATATTAAACTAACCGAAAATTGTATTTTTTTTATGTATTGGTTTGAGAAAATTTGAAAAACTAAACAAATATTTGTAAAAAAAAAGAAATTAGTTTCTATGGCAGGAATAAGCTTACCTTTCATAAAAAGTACACATTTTATAGTGGGTGTGTCCCTTACTCAACATAGAATATGCAACAATCTATGACGGGTGAAGTTACACTCATAAGTGTATGTGTCGGGTAAAGTCACTCTTGACATAGAAAGTGAGTGTCAATGTGATTAAAACATCACATTTAGTACTCATACTATAATAAGCATTGACTACCCTTCATAAAAGAATTTTTTTATGTCAAATGTTGATCCATCATAAAATGTGTGGATATTCTATGTCATCAAGATATATGACGGGTCTAGGATCGACATAAAATATTCAAAATATCTAACATAAAAAAAAATCCTAACATAATAATGAGATGTTAAATAGTGTTAAAAATTAACGTCCATGAATAAGAAAAATTAGGATTGGTAAAAGACTTAGTAAATATTATTTGACTCATATGTAAAACCACCCGTAAGCAAAATATAAGTTAGTTCAAGTCAAAACTTGCCACAAATAATTTGCAAATATGAAGTCAAAGTTCTAAGTATAAAATTTCCTTGCCAAGTGTAACAAATGGGGCATCAAAACGGTTTATTAGTTTTCTAATTAAAAAATAGAGTTACTATTGCTTCTCTTTGCTTATTGTGTGTATGCTTTGGCTTCCCATCCATCTCGACTCGAGTGTGTAATTTCTACATCTTTTAAATTGTTTCATGTCATTTTAATCATAAATATAGTTTTCAAACGTGTTCCAAACATGTTATAAGTCAATATTGGATTTTGGCTTGAACTTCATCATAGAAAATATAACAATGATTTTATTATTGATAACAAGGATAAGAATATGGTTGGGTATAAGTTTAGAAAGATTTTTTAAAAAAAATTATTCAATTATATTTTTTATTTTTAACAAAGAAACTTGCAAAAAAATTTCTAAATTTTATCTATACATATTTTAAGTAGAATTGTAAAAAAAACTTGTTAATATATAAAAGGACGCCAACATAAGAGAGGGATAAAGGAAAAAATTCTTCATTATAATGTCTCCAACAATAATGTAATAATTTATTTAAACTGATTATATTATTCTTTTAATGTGTACCCTTATAACAATGTTTATTCGAAGATTCTAAATAAACATAATAAGTTGCTATCATGCTTCCTCGTTTGTATTGCTCTCATTTCCCTTCGTCATTGCTACCATGCTTCTTTATTTGAAATGCTCTCATTTCCCATCATCGTTGCTGTCGTGCTTCCTCGTCGTTGTGCTCTACCGAGTTATAGTTGCTGCCCTGCTTCCTCATCTGTAGTGCTCCCTTGGTTTCAAGCTCAATCCTAAACCAAAAAAATTTCCATTACCCTTATTCTCACTCCTTGATCCTTGTCCCCTTATAGATGAAACTACAGTGGTATAACAGAACAAAGATGTGTCCGTGCTTATTGCTTTGGTTAGTATTTTTGTCAAAGCCTCGTGGTTCTTGAAGCATTGTTGGTAAAAAAATGTTCTTGAAATTGGTTTCCCATACTAAATGGATTGATGTGAGTTTTGTCAATAGGAACAGTGGTGCCAATTTTAGGAAGTCCCCTTATGCATGTTAGTGTTTGGAAAAGTTAAGTGAGAAGATTCCTATGAAAAATTAAGTACTTAGGTTTAAAACTTCCTTAACAAAACCACCGCTAAATACTCACAATACCAGAGGTTTCTAAAAAACGCCGCTAATTGTTTGCAGCGAATGTAACTGCAAAGGTTTTTGGAAACCTCTGTGATTTATTTTGTAGAGGGTAAAAACCTCCACTAAACGTAAAAATAACCTCCACTATTTAGCTCATTTATTGTAGTGTATTTTCTATGTTGGATGACATCCACATGACATAGAAAGTGACATGGTGACATATTAGTAATTATGACAAAGCTTTCTATAACGGGTATTGATTTACTCGTTACCAACTAATGTTTAATTTATCTCTATTTTCAAATTATAGGTATTTAAAAATTTCATTTCATTTCTCGATAAAGGGTTGGAGGATATTCAAAAACATGGGCATTGACTTGCATATAGTCACTTTAATGGCTAGTTATTTTGGTACATTGTTATAGTTTTCTTTGTACATTGGTATTGATATTTAACATTATTCTAGAATGTTTACTTTAGCTTGGTAGTAATTGTTGATTGTTATTAATTAATGACAATATTTGTTTACTTTGTCTTCATTGTTAACTCTCTTTGATGGCTTGTTTAATTTGAACATTGTTTGGTTAATATGAGAGATATTGTATATTATATAGGGTTGTATTGAACTAGATAAGTGTATAGTATATTAAAATGCCTGAAAATTGTATTTTTTTTATGTATTGGTTTAAGAAAATTTAAAATGAAAAAATATTTTGAAAAAAAAAAACACTTCAATTTCTATGGTAGGTGTAAGCTTACTTTTCATAGAAAGTATACATATTTTATGGTGGATGTGATTTTACTTGACATAGAATGTTTAACATTCTATGATGGATAAAGTTACACTAATCATAGAATGTGTTGGGTCAGGTCACACTTGATATAAAAAAGTGAGTATCAATGTGATTTATATTTAATACTCATACTATAATAAGCGTTGACCACCCGCTATAGAAAGTGAATTTTCTATGTCGATATAGAATGTGTGAATATTCTATGTCGGATCCAATATCGATATAGAATAACCAAAATACCAAATATAGAAAATTCCTAGCATAGTAGTAAGATGTTAAATAGTATTAAAAATTGACATTGATGAATAAGAAAAAATAGGATTAATAGAAGACTTAAAAAATATTATTTGGCTCATAAGTAAAATCATAGGTCAACAAAATATAAGTTAGATCAAGTCAAAACTTTGCCACAAATAATTTGTAAATAAGATTAGTTTTCTAATTAAAAATAGAGTTATTTTTGCTTCTCTTTGATTATTGTGTGTATGCTTTGGCTTCCCCTCCATCTCGAGTGTGTAACTTGTACATCTTTTAAATTGTTTCATGTCATTTTAATCATAAATATAGTTTTCAAACGTGTTCCAAACATGCTATAAGTCAATATTGGATTTTGGCTTGAAACTTCATAAAAAATATAACAATGATTTTATTATTGATAACGAGGCTAAGAATATGGTTGGGTATATGTTTAGAAAGATTTTTTTAAAAAAAATCTATTCAACAATATTTTTTATTTTAATTTAATAAAGAAACTCGCAAAAAAATTCTAAATTTTATCTCTACATATTTTAAGTAGAATTATAAAAAAGACTTGTTAATATATAAAACATAAGAGAGGAATAAAGGGAAAATTTCTTCGTTATAGTGTCTCCAACAATAACGTAATAATTTATTTAAATTGATTATATTATTCTTTTAATGTGTACTCTCATAACAATATTTATTCAAAAATTCTAAATAAACTTAATAATGACATAAATGAGTGGAGTAATTTTACTTGCCAAAATATAATAATGTCTTTTCCTCTATTAAATTTCTTCACTTCTACATGAAAAATGCCAATACATACAACATATAACTTCACTAAAGAAAGTCACATCTTTTGCACGAGTTAATCCAACCGAAACACATAATTAACCTAACCAAGAGACATCCTAATTCAACATCTCCCTTTAGACTCGTCAAGAGTCCTACACATTAACCCCAAAAAAAAAAAAAAAAAACAACAACAAAATCTACATCTACATGTTTGACTCAAGCCCATTAAGCCCACATAGCAAGAACCTCACCTCCTCCTTTCGGGGGTCCAATGTGGCAAGTCTTTGCTAAAATGGACAGACACAACCCTTGAGTCCAATAGCTCCATTATGGGTGTGAAATTCACACACCTTGGCACCTTATATTGATTTATGGAAGCCCCTCTTGAGATCGCATAATCCATAAGCTCTTCAAATGTGCCACTCTTCACAACGCGTATTTCCAAAGGCCCAATTGAATGATCCGCCACACGACACTGCCTATACACCGAGTTCAACGATTCCTCCATCTCCAAGCAACACCGAGTCAACACCTCGTGACTCGGCGAGTTCGCCAAGTCCTTGGTCAACAACTCCCAGTAAATCACGTAGTGACCCGGAATCGTTGTTGTGTCTGCATAGCTCGTGTACTCCACCACGCTCGTGTTGAACTCCGCCAAGAGCTTTGACGCGTTCTCAATCGCCTTTTGCAGCTCCGACTCGTCCGTTTTGTCCGAGTCAATGCTCAGCAACACGTTCTTCCGCCGCACGAAGTGGAACTGCGGCGCCGAGTTGTGGAACCCAGTGACCCGGAGGATGTCACCCACGCGGTACCGATAGAGTCCCGCGTAGGTAGTGATCACCAATTCGTATTCCTTCCCCACTTCCACGTCAGCCAGGTCCACCAACTTGGTGGACCCGGATCCTGACTCGTGGGGAAGGAATTCAAAATACGCCATGTTTGGCATGATGGTGTAGGAAACCTCGGAGGGCTTGCTCATGGGATTAAGGTTGAGTCCGAAGTAGCACTCCGAGGAAGCGTACATGGTGCATGCAAGGGGTAATCCTCCGCTGTAGTAGTTAAGTGTGGGAATGTATTGGGCCATGGCACCCGTTACGATGACGTCCAAGTATTTTGTGTTGGGCCAGATTCTTGTGATGATTCCCTCCCAATTGTCCTCGGAGCATTGTTGGGCCATGAATTGGGCCAGTTCCGGGTCGGGTTTGAGGACCTTGGACATGTATTCCCTTATGGCCGGGTCGGTGATCCGGGAATTCAGGGTCCCGGATCGGATATCCTCGGTGAGTTCGGGCCAATTGAGTTGGAGGAAGCGGATTGCGCGGAGGAGGCCGGAGGCGAAGACGGCGCCGAGGCGGAGGACCTGGTGGCGCTCTATGAGGCCACAGAGCATTTGAGAGTACATGCTTTGGAATGAGTCGGGGCAGAGAATTGCTTCATTTGGACTAGTGTAAACGTTGTACGGGTCGTAGGGTCGGGTCTTGAAGTGGTCACTTTTGTAATAACTTGTGAGAACCGGACGGGCCAGTAACCCACCCGGGGTCCTTGTTTCGGACTTCACGAACAAAAAGTATAGGCCCTTTCCCTTGTCCAAACCCGGCACATAACTGTTCCATTCAAAAATAATATTCACCATTAAAAAAATGTACTGGTTAATTGATCCAAGGTAAATTAAATTCTCCAATTTTTTTTTATTCCGGGGCAATTGATGGTTTGGCAAGTAAAGACGAAAAACATTAATTAGGCACAGAAGTGCATATTTGTTTAGAAAAATTATTTGAAGGTGGAACTTACAGATTCATAACTGGCATGAGGAGGCTGTATAGAAGTTGGCGACGATCCAGCTCTTCCTTAATTGTTGGCATCAGTTTTCTTTCACCAGCTGAAGTCCCAGAACTGCAGATTCAGATTCCCAAACACAAATCCCAAATTGGGTTCAGTTCCCAAACTTTCAAAAATCTAAATTTAAATATTATATCACAAAAATACTGGCCAATTTTTTTTTATATATATATTTTTTTTATAATTATAAAGTTTGAGTCTAACTCAATAATTCAAATAATACCTTGTTAGAAATTCAGAAATGGGGTGAGCAGACAAAATGTTAGAGCGGTCCCCATTGGCGATGCGCTGAATCTCAGGCTGGACATCCTCGTAGGTGATGACAGGAATCTTGGACTTGAAGGTTTGACGGTCGGCGGCGCCGCCGAGTTCGTAGCGTTTAAGGTACTCTGTTTGGGCGTTGCGGGAGAGAATCTCCGCCAGCACCCTCTCTTGCACGGCGTCGGCGTTTCGGGTCATTTCCTCGATGAAACGCAGCGCCTTGGCGTCTTTCTCGCACGCTGGGGGACCCAATGGGGAGGAAATCGCAGAGTCCACAGCCATAGAAACTGATTAGTTTAATTAATTCACTAAGCGATGTAATTAACGAACGAGTTTGATTAGTAACTGAGAAGAGTGGGTGTGACTAAAAAAGAGAGAGAGAAGAGAATTGAGTTGGTCTAGTGGGAGAAGCAGATAGAAAATTAAAGAGAAGAGAACTCGTGGTGGTGTAGTGAGAGAGACGAGTGCACGTTGCTGAGTTTATATAGAACAACCACGGAGGGACCCTACACGCTGCACCATGCCATGTCATCCGCGTGGGACCCACCTTCTCACAATGTCATTATTTCTGTTCCTTTTTCTTTTTTTTTTTTAATTACTAAAAGCGTTTTCTTATGTACCCTTCCGTGTGCCGTCCATACTATAACACTCTACCATGCATAAATGTTACTGTATTACTATTAAATAACAAAAAAAAAATGTGAAAAAATTGGGATATTTATTTAATTAAAATAACTAAATATTCCTTAGAGAGTGTATTCTGGATACCCAATTTTCCATGGACGGTGTAATTTTCTTTCACGAGCCTTACGATATTTTGTATGGAAAGGAACTTGTTGGTTTTTTTTGTCCTTTTTCTATAGTCAAATAATGAGAAGTTATTACAAACTAAAACTGAAAAGAAAAAGTGCTGTGTATACAATGTTTTGCTGAATTGTCAGTATTTAATTAAATGGACATAGAAAAAGACACAAGAAAGAAACGTCAGAGTTCGATCAAGACCTTTTGCCTACATTAAGTGCCCTTTAAATGCCTCTTAATTGTCGACTCATTTTGTCTACCTTGAAAAGTTCTTACACAAAACATTTTTCTTCTAGAATAATTATTTTCTGTTACAAAGATAATATTCTCAAATTGAACTATCAACCACATTAAATAACTTTCTAAGAGATTTATAGCGAAAATTAACCATTAACAATTCATTTTGCATACGAAAACCGAAGGAAATATGAATAGTAGAATTCCACGACAACTGGGTGACAATACACGAGCGAGGTTTAGGTTCCGACTTCAAACGAACATAGTTGACCGAAACAAGTAACAATAAATTTGACTAGTCATAAAAGCAGAGTGGCAGACGCAAGAAAAAAGCGAAGTGGCAAATACAAAAGTACTTTCCTTTGTACCCTTGGTTTCATATTATCACGTAAGGTCTGAGCAAATATTTAAGAAGAAAATAGTGGGTTGAAAAATGAGAAGATAGTGATAAATGAGGGGTAAAGAAGTGATGAAAAAGGTTGAACAGGGTGGTGTAGGGGTGAGAGGGGACAAGGTGGGGCGGAGGTCACGTAGACATAGGCTGAAAAAGGGGCAAGGAAATGTGGGTGAGGGACCAGGCATGTCAACGAAGGAAGCAGAGTGGTAGTTTTCGTTTTGGAAGGTAATACGCGTCGACCAACCACGAAACCCATTTCTGGTACCTTTGTTGGGCCTCGACAACGATGCCTTGCCATTTGCCTCCTTTCCCCAAATTATATTTATTTGCACGTGAGACAGATGCCTATGCCAACTCCCTTCCTCACTTCAATTTTTTTTTAGGTTCGTTCTTCCTGGAATATCCACCGTTGACAGTAGTGATTAATCTCCTCGCTACGTTAAAGACACTTCAAAAGGTGGGATAACTATTCCAAGATTCAACGCAGCTGCATACACAAGACAGGATTCGAACTCCTGACCTTGCTTAAGCGTGAATCAACCCCTACCGCTGAATTACACATTTGGGGTTTCTTCACTTCAATTTCTTACTCCTATTCCTTAATCAAACCTTTTTTTTTTTTTCCGCAAAAGGAACAGGTTTTTACTTTTCTTATTAACAATAATTACAAATAATTAATTAAAGTGCTGATAATTGGTAGTAATTGGATAACGAGGAAATGAACTTGATGATTACAATTACGAATGTGGACTGCACATGGTCAAACTGCACATACCGAGAACAAATTCATTTGCATGCCCCGAGACGTATGAAATGGACAAGGATAATTAGACAAATTATTAATTAATTGATCTTATTAGAATTAATACTTTTTTTTCTAATTCTTTTTAATCATTTGATAAAATAAGTTTTCAGTTTAAGTCAGTTGTTGTGTCTCTAACAAATATGCTGTTCATAATGAATGTGTTGTTTCCTCTGAATCAAGGTCTTCTTGTGTTAGTGATTAGATTAATTATGTCTTCAATATTATTTTCTTCATGCAATTACGGTTAATTCAAAATGGGTCTAATTTAATGAACGATTGTCACTGGATTATCCTTAAAAAATGGTAAGCATACAATTTTCTGAAAAATATATAATAAAATGATTGCTTAAATACATAATGTCAATGCCAAATTCCTTTCCAATCGAACTGTTTGTGGACTTTTTGTTGTTCTTATCATCATCAACGTGATTCTGTTTACGTCATAATAATTACATTCTAATTCGGATTAGGACAAAGGGATAGTACAATATTCAAACAGTGTCGATGAAGTCTATTAAAATCAAAATGAAAAAAGGAAAAAAGAGAAAATATTTGGTGATCAGATAAGGAAATTGATGATTACATTGTAAGAATTAAATAGGGGTGTTGGCAATGAAATAATGAATGACGTGGACAGCATATTGTCAAACTGAACGTACCCAGAAAATAATAATAATTTGCTTTTGAGGTGTACAAGGAAAATTAGATACAAGATAATTTCTTTAATAATAATAATTAACGATTTTTAACCTAGACAGTGGTGAAAAATAGAGAAAATTTATTATAAAAAAATCATTACATTGAAATTATAACACATTATTTATCAAATTAAAAAAAACATTAATTTTGTCATCAAGAATGGACAAAATTGCAAAATAAATATTTTATATATATATATTTCTATTTTGGTTAATTATAGTTTAAGTCAAATTTATGTCTCATTCCCTAACAAATATGCCGCTCATAACGGGTTTTTGACTAAAGTGGGGTCGTTGACCAAGTTATTTACGTAAATGGGGCTGTTCTGAATTTATTTACGCCTTTGGGGCTGTTTACAACGGTGTCGCTATGGGCCATAGCGACACCAATGCCACGTGGCTTTTTTTTTTTGGCGGACGGATGTCGCTAAATAGTAGTTAAATTTAGCGATGAAATTGAATTGGGTCGCTATTTCGATCGCTAAATTATAAATTTTGATTTTTTTAAGCGACGAAATTTAATTCGGTCGCTAAATAGTAGTTAAAATTAGCGACAGAATTGAATTCGGTCGCTAAATTAGAAATTTTGATTTTTTAGCGATGGAATTGAATTCGGTCGCTAAATATTAGTTAAAATTAGCGACGGAATTAAATTCGGTCGTTAAATAGTAGTTAAATTTAGCGATGAAATTTAATTCAGTTGCTAAATCAGAAATTTTGAGTTTTTTAGCGACGGAATTAAATTCGGTCGCTAAATATTAGTTAAAATTAGTGACGGAATTGAATTCGGTCTCTAAATCAGAAATTTTGATTTTTTTAGCAACAAAATTAAATTCGATCGCTAAATATTATTTACAATTAGCAATGTAATTCTATTTGGTCGCTAAATATTAGTTAAAATTAGCAACGGAGTTCTATTCGGTCGCTAATTATTAGTTAAAATTAGCGACGAAATTCTATTCGGTCACTAAGTAAAGCTTTAAAAAAATTATAAATTGCTTAAAAGTGATGATAATATTGTTCTTGAAAAAAAAAACTTATGTTAAAGACATTAATTATGTATTGTATTCGTGAAGTAATACTATCTTTATTATATATAACATTGAGTGGTATAATAATTTCATTCTTAATTAAATGAATAACACACTCCAATATATATATATATATATATATATATATATATTTGAAGATTCAACTAATTAATTTATTAATTTCATATTTGATTATATATTCAATATTTTACCATAAATTAATTAATTAGTTTAACTAAACTCTCATTATTCTTTTTTACTTTATAAGTTTAAATAAAATTACATACCTTGACATATCAACTATCATTTGTAAGTAGAATGAGTCATTCAAAAACAAAATGTACATAGAGTATACAATATTTTGTTTTCTGAGAAAATAGGGTATCATATTTGGATACCCTTTTATTTTATATACTTTCATATATATACTTGTACTAAAAAATGGAGTAGATGATCTGAAGTCTTATTTGAATTTTTCAAAAAAATTAAGATTAATGATTGGCTCTAACTTTACATAATGTCTTACCTTACCCTAATATTTAAACTTTTAATTACAAAAAAAGGTATTAATTTCTATTTTTTTTCTTCTTTATTTTCAATTTTCAACTTTTTAAGCGCATTTGACACAGGGACCACTTGGGTGTGGTTATATGGATGAAATTATGCAATTCATTAAAAGTACTTGATTTGATTTTTTTTATTCATAAGCTTACTGGTTTATAAATATTGAACATAGAACTTTTTAATTTTTTTAAATATAAACCATTAAAAAATTACATTCTTTTTTTAAAGATAAAAATTAACTTATTTTGAATGTTATGAATACGTTATGAATTATACAGAAACTTTACTCTCATTTTAAAAAATAGTATAAATAGAGAGAGAAAAAATTAAGAAAACTCAACTAAATCAGATGAAATTCATTTAATATTACATTGGATAATGCTATATTAACTACTAGAAAATTGCAAAATAGAGACTAAAATTAGCGACCAAAATTTATCAATCGCTATTTAGCGACTGATTTAGCGACCAATTATGAAAAATCAAAATAGCGACCGATTTAGCGACCAAAACAAGTCGTCGCTAAAAATTGGGTCGCTATTTCGGTCGCTAAATTATAAATTTTGATTCTTTTAGCGACGGAACTAAATTCGGTCTCTATTTCGGTGCTAAATTATAAATTTTGATTTTTTTTAGCGATGAAATTTAATTCGGTCGCTAAATAGTAGTTAAAATTAGCGACAGAATTGAATTCGGTCGCTAAATAGTAGTTAAATTTAGTGACGGAATTGAATTCAGTCGCTATTTCGGTCGCTAAATTATAAATTTTGAAATTTTTTAGCGACGGAATTTAATTCGGTCGCTAAATAGTAGGTAAAATTAGCTACGAAATTGAATTTGGTCGCTAAATAGCAGTTAAATTTAGCGACAGAATTGAATTCGGTCTCTATTTTGGTCGCTACTTAGAAA